AAAAAATATTTTTAAAATAGTGTATAAAAATAGAATGAAGGTGACAATAGATGGTGTAAATAGATTCGTAGTTGAAACATTTACAAACTAAAGAAGCAAAAATAAAAGATAACAAAATTCATAGTTGTTACATGGAAAAGAAATATAAAGTTAGATTACAAAACCATAAGAAATCACAGTCACACAAAATGTACTCAAAATGGAGATAAGAAGATGGAAAAGAAAGACAAAGAAAGAAGCAAAAAGATAACTCTAAAAATGGACTAGTGTGTTGAGAAGTTGAATGAGGAAGGAGAAGACAAAATAAATATCTAAGTTATGAGAAAAAGGAAAAAAATAAGTTACAAATTGATGGCTATATTATACTTGAAATAAAGACTTTTAAATTTGGACCATTGTTATTTAGTTATACAAAAGTAATAAAAAATTAAACTTATCTCATTTTCGGTTGGGTTCGATTTTTAGCGGGTTTAAAAATTCAAAACCGAACCCGCCCAATATAACCCGTATAAAATTAAAATTTTAACCCGATTTACTCATAAGACCCGCCCGAACCCACCCAAAAACAATATTTTTTTTCAGATTTTTCGGGTTCGGTTCGGGTGTCGGTTTAATGTTCACCCCTAGATATTATGATGAACCCATGGTACACAGTGAACAAGCAATAAGTAACGTACTGGAATTACTACAGTGGACGTGTTACATTGAAAAGTGTTATTTTAATAAAAGGTTTAAATGCATTTTTATTCATATGCTATTATAATTATGTAATTTTGATCTTTACAATTTTAATTGAGTAATTTTAAATTTTGAAGTATCATAATTTTATAATTTGATCCTCAAATTTTAACTAAACAATTTTAATTTATTAACTATGACAATTATATCTTTTTAGTCTCAAGTATTATAATTATATAATTTTTTACTTATTTAAATTACATATATTATAATTTTCATTCGTCGTTATCGCTGTGGTTTCTCTCTCCCCTTTTCTCTTGATGTCTCTCATCACAATCCCCAAAATCAAACCCTATAGATGGCTTAGTCTAGGTCAAAAGGGGGTTAAGAAAGACTAGAACTTGTACTTCAACACGCTCTTCTGGAACTTGAATTTCTGGTACAACTTCATGACGTTGGCTGTTGAGGTTGAGATTCCACAAAAAACCTTTCCTTTGGCTCTTTTCATTGCCGTGATTTTCACCTGCGTCTCTTACTTGATTCCACTCTTCGCCGTCACTGGAGCTGTTTCCGTCGACCAGAGCGAGTGGGAAATCGGGTTCAACGCGCAGGCGGCGGAGATCATCGCCGGAAAATGGTTAAAAATCTGGATCAAAATCGGTGCAGCATTGTCGGCAATTGGGCTCTTCGAGGCCCAATTGAGCAGCAGCGCGTACCAGGTTGAGGGCATGGCGGAGATTGTGATTCTGCCGAAGCTTTTCGGGTTGCGGTCGCGGTGGTTCAACACGCTGTGGTTGGGGATATGGGTATGGATTGAATTACTATGAGCATCAGGGTTGTTTATTAAGGGATTCTAAGTGCGTGTTTGATTGCTATTAATTGAAACAGATATATTGCAGAGGGTGGCCTAACTGGGGAGCGCAAGCGGTTGGTGCCTCGAAGAGGTAAAACACCTCTAGATGCCAGGAGGAGTTGAAGATGTACAATAAAAAGCTTCTAAAGACGTTGCTGAATGAAGGACTTGCAGTTTTAGGGGATGGTGTATCTGAATCTGATTATATTAGAGTGCAGGAGAGGCTAAAGAAACTCATAAAGGGGCTCTGTCGTGGCTTTGTTGGTGCAAAAATAAGTATAATTTTTTTTTTTAAATGCAATCTACATTGGTTGTCTAGAGAACTGATACATCAGTTCTTCAGAACCGATATAAAATTATATATATTTTTTACGTCGCTCTATTTTACATTAGTTTTAAAATTGATGTAGATGCCTTTAGAGAACCGATGTAAAATATGCATCTTGTAGTAATGATTAAAATTTATTTTGAAAAATATATATAAAATAATAAATATTTCATTAAATGTTATTTAAAGAATGTAAAGTATTAAATAAATTACTACAATAAATGAAGAGGGATTAAATTATATTGATGTAACTTTTATTAACTATTACATGTTCAATAACTTTCAATTGAATAATAAATTATGTGATCTAATCATAGAAATACAACTTTTTAATATTACCATAAATATGTATATCAAATTTTGTTAAAATCGAACAACAATAAAAAAAATAATTAAATTATTCATATTTTACTATATTTTAATATATATATATATATATATATTAATTCAAAATTTATTGATATTGCATTTATATAGATAATATATTATACATATATATATATATTGTATATATAATCTAAGATAAATAAAATTTCAATATAACGATAAATTTCAAAAATAATTATTTTATTAATTTATGTATGAAGACTAGATAATAGATCATTAATTCTAGGGATTTGTTTTAACATATTTTCTTGATTTGAATTTTCTTTCCCAAGCAGTCCATAAACCTAAGCAATAAAAGTGGGCCACTAAGCTCTTGGGTTTTCAGTTTGACGTCCTTTACTAAGCAACATGCTATCAAATACTTTTTCCCAGCCAAAACCTGAACCTCCTTTTTTGTTGACTGGTTCTTCTACAATTCCCACTTTTATCCAAGCTTGGAAAGAATATTATCAAAAAGGTCAAAATATGGTGATTCAATTGATTGAAGATAGTATGACTAGGGAACCGTTTACCTTAAAAAAAAATAAAAATTATTATATGAGTTAATTACTTATATATTATTAGTATAATTTTTTTTTACATTAACAATTAATCATATCTTTTAATAATATTATTATTATTTATTTATTTAATTAAATTAAAATAAAAAAAGGTAAGGATCGCTCGTTTGTTCTAGACCTTCAAATTTTCACGCAACATTTATTGTATGAATTTCATTGTACCCCTGATGCTGTCCATTTAGGGCTAAAATCAATGATATTTAGACGAGCTTCCTCTTTTTACTGGTCAGGCTTGTATGCATATATTAAAACCTTCCGATAACAATGCCCAACGTTATCAAATAAATTAATTTTTTTTAAAAATAAAATTTTGTAATATAGAAAACCTAAGTCATAATTTACGATCACAAATCATAAGAACACGGGTTTTATTAAGAATTAAAGAGGAGGATTTTATCGTATATTTTCTATGCAAAAGCTAATTATAAACTAAAAATTGAACTCAAGAATCACGAATTTTAAAATTTAATAAGATAAAACTTCGATTCAAGTTTTGATTATTACAGTATATAAAAACATATGTAATCCAAATTTCATCATTGAATATTTATTTCAAATTATAGAACGAACACAATTATGCTCTATGAAAACTCTATGAAGACAAATCTGTTTCGTAATGCTCCAATCCGAATTGAATCCAATTCAGTATTCTAAAATGAATTTGAATTAAATTCTATTTTTCAATTAATTAAAAACAAAATTCGTAATCATGAATTTGATTAAAAATTGATTGAGGAACAGAAAAGAAGAGAAAAGAAGAATTCAGATTTTAGAGGATTTTACCGCATAACCGAAACCTTGAATCGATTAAAAGAACTTAGCCTCGTATCTCCATCATTATCCTTGCACAAATTTGTTTAGAGAGAAGATGAAAAGTCTCGGCCAAATTATAGAGCAATTCGTGAGAGATAAGAGAAGAGAGTTGAGAGAAGTTTCTTGAGAAAGAAATCTCAAATATGAAAAATGAGGTAAAAAGTTCAATGCAAATTAAGGGTCATTACATGAATTTAAAGACAAAGTAATGGGTCTAATCTAAGGGTCCAACCCATTAATTACATTCCTAAAGCCTAATTAACTACAACTAAACAGTTTCAAGACAAGCTAAAAAATTTAGTGTAGGGCCACGAGCTTGAGGCGCAATTTTGGACCTGAAAACGTCCAAACTGGCTTTTTCTCCCAAAATCGAAGTTGTAGATTTCCCTCTTATCTTTCCAAAGACACCAAGATTTTCCGATTCCAAGTTGTATAGCTCCAGATATGGCTTGCACAAGAAACTGTGTCAAAATAGAAAATTATTATGGGAATTTAGTAGAATTTACAACTAAATCCTAAATGATTCACTAACACAAATCTAAACTAATACATGAATATATGATACTAAAAGAAATCAAAATAAGGCAAAAACATATAAATAAAAATGTTCTAAAATATGGCTATCACCTGCATATGTAGTGTTTTGAGTGTCAACTTAATTGATAGAATTTTAAAGTATCAAAAGGAAATTAGTTTTATTTGTTGGAAGAATGATAGCAATGTGAGTAGCCTTGAGAAATTGTATATGATATTTGAATAGTAGTTGATAGTGAATAATAAGAAGTTATTTGATTTTAGAGAGTAGTAGTAGTAGTGCATACAATGAAGTCCCAATTTTCCTATTTATAGGCATGGTGCACCACCTTTGGATGATGGTGGGAATTTCTAGATTCTTCAAGTCTCTAGTTAATTTACACTCTTTTAGTTTTTTCTAGAGACCTATACATCTTATTTTATGTTTTCTAGAATTTTCTTTTTCTTTTATAGAATTTGCATCATAATTTAACACTTCCCCTTGATGCAAATTTCAATAACTGTGAGCCTAGTCTATAGTTGTTCAAATTTCATTCTTGGTAATGCTTTTGTAAATATGCCTAGAACTTATTCTTCTATTGTGTAATATTCAAGTTGAATTTGTTTTGTTGTTTCCACTTCTCTGATGAAGTGGTATTTAATGGCTGTGTTTTGTTCTCTAGTGATGAACTGGATTATTCGTCATTGATACTGTTGATTTATTATCATAGTACATAATAGTCGGTCCATCTTGTTGTTCGCCCATTTCTTCAAGAATTCTTCATAGCCATATTGTTTGACTTGTAGTTTCAGCATTGTTACATATTCTACTTTTGTTGTAGATTGTGTTGCACTTGCTTGCTTCTTTGATACCCAAGAGAAAAAACCTGATCCTAGTGAAAAAGCATATCCTGACATACTTTTAATGTCGTCTATTGATCCTGCCCAATAACTGTTGGTGAAACCAATCATCCTTGAGTTGATCATGGTTTTGTACCATATGCCAAACTCCCTCGTGTCTTATAGATATCTTAGGATTCTTTTTCCTTTTCCATAGTGAATCTGACTTGACTTCTGCATGAACCTTGATAGAAGACTTGTGGCATACATGATGTCTGGCCATGTGGTTATGAGATATAAAAGACTTCCAATCAAACTCCTGTAGCATGATACATTTGCTTTTAATGCTCCATCTTCTTTTTGTAACTTCTCATTTACTACCAATGAAGTAGCGAAAGGTTTACAATCACATCTTAAACTTCTTCAATAGAGCTTCATTATATTTCTTTTGAGAGATAAATATTCCTTATTTTTGTTGTCTCACCTCTATACGAAGGAAGTAGTTCATCAAGCCAAGGTTAGTCATCTCGAATGTCTTCATCATTTCATCTTTGAATTCTCTCATAAACTCTCTATTATTTCTTGTATAGATAAAATCATCGATGTATAGGGAAACAATTAGATTATGCTGACTTTGTATATTGATATATAATGTTGGCTCACTTTTGCTCCTCCTAAATCCTTGATCGATGAAGTATTGATTGATTCTGCTATACCATGCTCCGTATAAGGCTCTTTTTAGTCTTAGCACTTTGCCTTCACTATATTTGTTGATGAAGCCTTGTGGTTGCTCAACATAAATCTCTATCTCAAGCACTCTATTTAGAAAATTTGATTTGACATCTAATTAGTAAATGTTCCATCCTTTTTGTGTTGTAAGAGCTATTAAAGCTCTAATTGTATCTAGATGAGCTCTGGTGCAAATGTCTCATTGTAGTCAATTCCATATTGTTGATAGTAGTCTTTAGCGACCAATCTCGCCTTGTATTTTTGTATAGTTCCATTTGGATTGAGCTTTGTTTTATATACCTATTTTACTTCAATGATGTCTTTTTCATGTGGGCAGTCTACGAGCTCCCAAGTATTATTCTTTTCAATCAGTTTAATCTCTTCTTCCATAGCCTTGACCCATATTTCTTGCTTTGATGCTTCTTCATAGCATTCAGGCTCAATCATGGCCATATTGCAAGTTTCATATATGTCTACCAAAGATCTTATTCGTCTTGGAGTAGACTTTAGCGAAGAATCTTGTTGTTGTTGTGGAGAAAGCACACCTAAATCTTCTGCCTCTTCTTTCGCTTCTTCTTGAGATTGTTGTGTTGGAATTAAAATATTACTTTTAACCACTTTTTCTTATTCCCAATTCCAAGAAGCATTTTCATCAACTTCCACATCTCGACTTATGATGAGTTTCTTTGTTTGTAGGTTGTAAACTTGATAACCTTTTGATTGTGTGTTATATCCCAAGAATATTCCTCGTATAGTCTTGTCTTCAATCTTGTGCCTCTTTTGATTACAAATATGTATGTAGCAGATAAATCCAAATACTCGCATATGTTTGGCTGATGGCTTTCTTCCACTCCAAGCTTCAATAGGAGTCTTGTCTTGGACTGACTGCCTTGGTTAGACATTTGTTTAGTATTTAAATTGCGATGTAGACTATTTCAGCCCAAAAAATGTTAAGAAGACCTTTCTCCTTTAACATTGATCTTGCCATCTCCATGACAATGCGGTTCTCTCTCTCTAAGACACCATTTTGTTGTTGAGATTATGCAACTGTAAGTTGTTGCTCAATGCCTTTATCTTAATAGAATTTATAAAACTCGTGTGAGTTGTATTCTTTGCCTTGATCACTTCTTAGTACTTTTATATGTTTTCCGCTTTGCTTTTCCATAAGAGCTTTAAAATTTTTGAAGATTCCAAAAACTTCTGATATTTCTTTAAGGAAGTAGACCCACATCATTCTAGAAAAGTTATCCGT